ACAAGCCTGCATAATCACTGCAGACTCATCGAACTTGGTTTCGGGATGAGATCAAGTCCCGCATGAAGATCACAAGGATCCTTCAAACTGAACGGCTTCAGTCAAAGGAGACATCCGAGGGTGCAACCAGGTGGTTGTGGCCGTGAGGCGGGACGTCAGGGCTGCCGACTCCACATCACCATACCCTCCCCCCCCTCGCCCCCGCTCCCCCAACCCACCAACCAACACCAACACGTATCAGACAAGAGTTACACATCCAGCAGTCTAGCTGTTTATAAACACATACAACATCATTCCCTCAGTCAGAAAAGGAGGCGCTATGACAAGACGACGTGGTTATATATTATAAACAAACCCAGTGCCCAGTGTTTATATACAGACCTCGTGGTTTGCAACAACTTCGACTTGATGTTGTAAGTCCAAACAACAACGTACACGCACACACGCACCAAGCGAATAACCAACTGACACAGAAACACAGACTCAACCACTCACAACATGCAAAACCACTGAAAATAGTGGGTTGCAAAAACGCAGGCCCCACAGCCTCCTCTTCTGTATAGTTAATAATATACCTCGTTTGAGCCCCAAAACTCTTGTCGGCTCAGGACGACACGCAAGCCCAAAATCAACTCCAATTTAAGCGTCGCCCTAGATGCCTGACAGTCAAATTTATTCTCTAAATCACTCAAAATCTTTGCTTCCCCATTAGAACCTCAAATCTAAATCCTTACCGCATTTGAACCCCTCCAGCCCCCAAATTTTATCCGTGGTTTCTAGAGAACTCAAGTTATCTTGACTTAACCTCCAAACCCTACGCCCAAATATGACATATACCAACCTTTGGGATAATGTAGGGATTATAACACCCCAAAAAGGTTTAAGGCTACCTACTCAGCCCGTAAGTTTTCTTCTCCCTGGTTACCTCAAAGCCTAGTGTGTGCACATTCATCGGGCGAATGTGTCGCGCAGATGCGGCTAAGATGTGTTTAACGATAATACAGTTAGTATGTAATATTCGGCATCGGGCATGACAATCAACAATAGTCATATGGTTCCCATCGGCCTGTCTGCATTGAAACCGGCCAACATGCCCAGGACTCTTAAATCTTGTCTTGGTTCCGATAGCTTGTCTGCATTGAGAACTACATTGAACTTCAATGCGCCCGGGCCCCAGGAACCAAGAACCAAGATGCCCAGGACTCTTGAATCTTGGATCTTGGTTCCAGCGGACTGGCTGCATGGAAATCTGCATTGAGAAATAAAACTTCGATGCGCCCGGGCCACAGGAACCAAGATCCAAGATTCCGGAGTCCTGGGCATTCTGGTTCTTGGTTCCACGGGCCTGACTGCACTGAAGTCCAATGTTTAAATGCAGATCTCAATGCAAACTAGTCCGCAGCAACACGATCCAAGATTCAAAGGTCCTGGGCATCTTGGTTCTTGGTTCCACGGGTCTGGGTGCATTGAAGTTCAGTTGTTCAACGCCGGTTTCCATGCACGCATCTGGCAAGAAATCTTGTATACATGATCACATATGTAATACCATATATTGCAGAACGCGGAAAAATGCTATGGCAGGTAAATATAATCACAATATACAATATACATAGATTCGTTATTAACTTGTCAAAGGCGACCATGTGAACCTGTGGCAGCAGGCTTTGGAGGTAGATTCCACGGGGTAATATGTTGTACATACATACCTATTAACATAGATGTTACTTATGTATATCTATATTTAGATGGATAGCATAAAAAATCCATACTGAGGGTTCGGGATGGAAGATTTAGGGCTTTTGGGAGGATGGCGTTTGTTTCGTTGCCTCCTCGAAAGTTCGAAAGCCCGAAAAAGCCAGAAGATCGAAACGATTACCAACAAGCTCAAAAAAACGCAGATGCGCGTACGGTCGAACACTTGTCGATGTTCTGAGGTTTCATGCATTTGGATAGTTTCTTCGGCTAGCGAAACCAACGCATACCAACGCCAGCGTGCGCTCATCTTTGAATAGGTAAGGGTAGTCGCAGTCCGAGCGATCGCCTTGAGGAAGAAGACGAAGAAGATGTACATCATGAAGTAGGCATTGGAGTACACGGCCTCATGACACAGCTCCGAATGCACTTGACGAGCTCGGGTCACCCAAATGCAGCAGGATTGCTCCCGGCATGAAGGGTGCAGTCGGAATAGTAATAACAACGACCTCGGTCGCATGCAGCAATATGCCACACATGTCATTGAGACTTCAGGAAACCTGATTAACTAAGCTGCAGGCAAATCCTTTTGTTACAATCATGTGGGCCAGCATGGTAACCATGGCTGCGCCAGCCTATGGTTATGCGGAGTAAAATCGCTACACGGGACGATTGAGCAAACTGAGACGACAAAGCCTGTCCTGAGGACTGGACTGACTCAGAAAACATCATCGTGCCCACCAACACAAAGCCCTGACATGTGCCTAGTACTGTTCAAGGGCATGCAGTCTGTGTTTGGGCTCTTTTCCCTTCCATCCTGGAGGTTGGTACAAACCACCAACTCTGGCAGAGCATTGGACAGCTCCTCCAAATAGCCGCTGGCCTAGAGTGAGAAAAGAAGCATCCTTGCAACTAAAAGTCCCACACTGACTCCAAGGACAAAACACACAGCGGTGCACAAAGTCGAGGAGCTAACTCCGGAGCGCAGCGCGAGCGCATGAACGAGACATAAGGATGCCCAGACCACTACACACCATGCATACGTCTCCTGCGACACCCAACATGCAAAGTGCTCTTCCATCTTCGAAACGCGCGGGACATGAAGCCGGACAAGGTGTAGCAGAAGGTCACATTGTTGCTTTCCGGGGCCGCGGCCATGTCAAGGCCTAGCAGCCCACCTGTGGCAGCAACCACCTTTCATGTCAGATACAAGATGATCTGCAGGCAACCTGCTGCAGTTTGTGCCAAGCGATTAGACCGCCCTGGCTGAAACTGAGGCCATGTACTGCAAGGTACCAGTATGGCCTCCAGCAACAAGGGTGTGCAAAGTCAGTCGTTAAAGCTCTCTGTAGCTGACGTGACCTGGAAATCGTCTGCTCCGGCTAGGAGGCATCAAACGGGCTTCCACATGCTGTCCACTGTGTTTGAATCCACTTGGCAAAACAAAGAAGCGTGGCCTGGTTCTCATCTTGTTGGAGAAGAAGTCCAGGGGATGGTAGGCCTCATCACCGACGAAGTTGACGGCTGCAAACCACACCTGTCCACGCGGTCCAGCACAAGACTCGCACACGGCCACCAAACGTCCCCGGCTCCCTTTGGCATCTTCCCACACGGGGCTTAAAAGATGATTTACCAGCAATTTGGCAGCCCTGAACCAAGATGTCTGCTTGGCCCGGGTGCTACCAGGCTCCCCGTACGATTGGAACGGTTCAGAACCGATCCTGCAGCGTTTGCTTAGTTGCATAGAAAAACATATTATGCAGTATGGATATTTTGATTAGAATATGTACATGTTTTCTTTAAGGGCGACCAGCACGAAATCTTAGAAGCGCGCCGCCGCCAAACCTGTCGTGCCATAGGCCGCATAGAAACACACCTTGTGTCGGTGCAATACTGGCGACATGCCGTTGTCGACTCACTCAGGGCTGAGCCTGCGAAGTAAGCATCCAAAAATTGTGCCCCTCTTCATTGGATTGCATGGCATACTAGCGGAGCTTCAGAGTAAGTAAGTCTTCGATTTTTGGTCGGCACGCAGTTCGCCCGGCTTGTTGCACGCAGCATCGAGCTGCAAGACATTGTGTGGCTATGGCCGTTTTGGGATAATTACTTGTCGCAAAGAATGCAATCTGACGAAGGCTTCCTTGCGAAAGGACGTTCGGGAGACGTTAGCCTGAAAGGCTGCGACAAGGCCGCACACTTTAACAAAGCTCATGAGCAGCTTCTGGATCCGAAATGGCTTCGCAAAGGCACGAATCATGCCAATGCCGCCTGCCAGATACATTAAGTAGCATACATAAACTATGCAGAACTGCAAATAGAGGCTGCGAGGCTTAGATTTGGCAATGGTAGCAGATCCCAGTCCGGAGGTGGGTCGGGTGGCTCTACCCGCTAAAGGGGGACAGGGTTTAGCCGCAAGATCCACGGATGTGTCCCTTGTGTATCACATTCCCGCATCATGATCATCATACTTAAATAATAACCAACACACTGTCGTCGGTGCGACTGTGTGCACTACCTAGCTTGCGAATCCTCTTACCTCATCGGCTGTGGTCCCAGCAGTTCCTTTCTCTTGAAACACTAACTCCCCGAGCATGGCTTTCCGTCGTGTTGAGCGTGATGTCGAGTTGGCCAGGACTCACCAGGTTTACTGCTACATAAGCCCAACTATGCCCAATCAACACGAGCGATTCAATAGCCGCTGGATGAGGTTCTCCGGCTCTCCCTCTTCGATTTGACCACCGCCCGAAATCGCGATCTGAACGTCAAACATCCTTGCAGCCTGTTCTTGCGTGCGGCGGAATTGTCGAATCAAGAGGCACGGGTCCGCCTTCTGAAAACTACCCTGGTTCACGCACGAGCACGCACACAGACACACACACACACACATCAGCAGGCTTTCACACAAGCGTGGACTTTTACAAGTCTTTTGTTGAAAGGCAGCATGCACATGTCCGGAAGAGATGTTGCCGGAGAAGTCTGCTACATCTGAATAACGACAGACCACTACACCCGCACGTAGAATCGGGATCAAGCAGGATTCAGCACGGAGATGGAGAGAGTCAACAATCGCCGCACTCCTAGCTCTGACGCCAAAACTGGACGACCATTTTTCTTCGTTGTGTGGATATGTAGCGCTGCATGCGCCGTTCGTTCGGCTCGCAGGCTCAAGTCCTACAACCGATGCCGGGTGCGCATCTCGGCACCGGCCCGCTGAGGACTGACCGCCGCCGAAGCCCCTGTAGGGTGGCGAGGGCCGAAGACGCGTCGAGCCAGAGTGCTGAAGGCAGCTACGCCGTTCGCGATTGTTACTTCGCACACAAGGGTGCTACACATCAATCGCCGGACTCTTAGCTCTGACGACTGGACGACTCTATTTCTTCGTCGTGTGGATATGTATAATAGCGCTGCATGCACCGTTCGGCGCGCAGGTTCAGGTACTACAGCCGGCGCCAGTTGCGCATCTCAGCACCACCCGGCGCACCCAGCCCCACCACTCGCCGGCTCAGCAACCCAGGAGGTATAGAACAGGACACCAGGTCGAGCGCCGCTTCGTCCACAGCATTCCACAGCGTAGAAAAGGTCGTCGACACCGCGGGGTCTGGACGCTAGTCCAACCCTCGCGTCGGGCACGAGCAAAGTCGTCACGGGAGACTGCGGGTCGTTTTTTCATTCTCACGCTCTAGTCGAGTCGACTACTGCGGGCGCTACGCAGACGTACCTCCCGGTGGGTACGAAAGTGGGCTTTTCGGCACGCCGGACGACTATACACTGCAGCTTCCCAGGGCGGGGTGGGACTATGGTGGCCTTCAGAAAGCTACATACCACATCCTACCTCGTCCTACTTACTTCTTGTACATCAGCACAGTGGGTGACAGTGAATCATCATTCTGTACATAAAGGCCGGACGCACGGCTCCCCTGTGCAGCCTCCACTGGAGGTCCCGGCTCAGTTTTGGTGGCCCACGGCAGACCGCGTCAGCCACATTGGCTTTGGACGAAAGGCTGCCAGCATGCCATCGCCGGATCTTTGCCATATCCCGGTCAACGCCGCTTGACCCGCGGTGTCGTCGATGAAGGCCGTGAGGGCGCCGGACAGGTGGGCAGAGAACGCCGCGATAGCCACCAGCTGCGCAAAGACCTCGAGCATGTAGATGAATGCGCGCCGGGACTCGAACTTCTTCAGGAACCATGGTGGCACCACGCGTGGTCATAGAAGACGGCTCGGCCATGCTCCGCCGAGCCGGAGCACGAATCCCCAGCCGTTGTTGGCACGGTTGGGCCGAGATGCGCCGGCCGTCGTGGGGACATGGCCTGCTTTGTGTCGCATCTCGCCGTCCAGGAAGAAGGCGTCCGCGTAGAGCACCGCCGTGTCCAGGTCGTCGGGAAGAACGGGATGAACCTGGGTTTGAGCGTCGGTAGGATGTGGGACAGCGACGCCAGCGCCGACCTGAGAACCACAGAGAGGCCGTTGGAGTGTGCTGATGTGTCCGCCGGCCGGGCTTTTAGACGGCCTTGGTCGAGGCCTTCCCCACACCGCCGAAGACTGCTTGAGTGAGGACGGTGAGGAAATGTGAGGAATGACAGGCGGCCCGCCAGCCGCCAGCCAGCTTCTGCGCCTCGTCGGGCTTGAGGGCGTCGTTCAGCATCCGAAGCCACTGAAACACGAGCTTCGAAGCCAGGGCGAAGAACACGTAGGCGTCCACTGTCCACTGTGGTCACGACGTTCTAAGGCAGTGCCATTGGCGTCAAGAGACCAATGAAGCCGCTGCAAAAGCTGAGCCGCCGCAGGGATCATCGGCCGCCATCGGAAAGAGGCCGATTCGAGAGGGACCGTCTTCAACCACCGCGGTGGCTGAATGCAGGCCTTCCACACGACTCTCAAAGTACCTAAGGGAGCATGCAAAGTCAGGGAGCATACTCCAACCCAGCACCTCGTACAGGCACACACGCGCGAAGCCTGGAGTGAAGCCCTTGCTAAACACATGCTCGATTTCCATACGAATAGCATGAAGATCCTCCTTTGCAGGCTGGGCGAAACCCGAGGCCCAAGCAAAAGTCGAAACCACTTAGTGAACCAAGCAACAGGCGCTGCAGCGGCCGGTTACGTGTAACCCACCCTAAAATGCGTGCTCTAAGAATGGCCTTCCTAGAGAGAAACTTGAGCAGGTGCCAGCCTGAACTGGGCCATGATGCGGCGCACCCTCTCAGGATAACCGTTAGCTGCATGACCCCCCGCCGGGACACCTCGAACATGACCGCCAGTACCACGTGTTTCGGCGCCGCCGGCTGCGACTTGGAGACCTTGATGCGAAATCTCGAAGGACTCGGCCGCCGACTCGCCCACAGCTCCTCGAACTCCAGGCAGTGGGAGTCGTCGACATAATCGACATACGTCCCCCGTCACCAGTAGTAGGATGAGGCCTCGCAACAGTCTGTTGGAGTGCGTCGTCTGCTCCGTTAAACTTCCACACCAATGCCGCGGCGCCGAAGTTCATCGCGAGGTGGCACCACGCCGTCGCACGCCATGCGCCGGGCCAGGTGGGTTGGCATGTCTGCTGGGATGGTATATATAGTTGTGGCCCGACCGCCGCCAATCCTCGCCCCGCGACCCGTCAATCCACGCCAGCGTTGCCGCCTGCACCTTGAGCCACGGAGCCGCGCTAATCGGGCCCACAGCTCTGCGGAGCTTGACCTAGCAAGGTCTCCTTGCGCTGGCTGACCTGGGGTGTTTGCACTGGTCGTCAGTGGGCTTCTTCCACCCCGGTCCCGGGCGTAGCGCGCCGGTCGTCGATGAGGTATGAGGTTCTCGCAGTTGAGGCGTCGTACCACGTTCAAGAGGACCGGATCGGGACCTGTGTGACCGCCGCCTTGTCCGGCTGTCTGCCACTCCAGAGAAGTCCCGCCGTAAATAGCACCAGGCAGCTGCCCTCCGCATCAGAGCACCATACCCGGTTCGGACGGCGCCCCTCCTGTCCCTAGCATTCCCTAGCCTTAGCGCTTCCAACCGCGTGTTTCCCGCATTCCACTGGTTCTGGTCCAGCCCCCTGCGACCGCCGTGGTCTCGCCACTCGCGGACTTATCCGCCACACTCCTGGTTCGGTACCCATGCGGTCTCGTGTAGGGGGTCCTTGGGCGGTGGCGTCGGTCTCTGTCTGGCCGCCACCGCCACGTCAGCTCGTTCCCAGCTTCATGATCTTCTCGGCACGCGCCCTGTCAGCGCACAGTTTCCACACCGCGTCGGCCCACTAGCTCTGCACCGCCGGGATGGACCCCTGTTTGGACCGGACCTTCTCCACAAAAACGAGGTGGCGAAGCGGTCTATGTGCCGCTCCTAGTCGTATACCCACAAACCGTGCCGCCTCGATGCCGTCGATGGTCAGCTTATGATGCCCTTGCATGGGGTCCAATCGTCGGCGTCCTCCGTGACCAGGCAAGTTCTCAGCCCAGCCGTTGTAGTCACAGTCGCTTTCTGACGTCGAGGTCGAGGCCCCGCGGAGAACACTACGGCTGAGCCGACGTCCTCTTGCACCTGCGCGTCCCAAGTGGGCGCTCCCTCTCCCTCTGTGCCCGGTGCACGCGGCTATGCGGCACCTCGCTCGCCTGGGAGCTCCCTCGACAGGATGGCGGTACTCGCTCCAAAGAAGTTCGAAGAATCCGTCACCTTCCTCAATGCAGTCCTGGATCATCTTCGGAGGGCACGCCTGCCGGGTGGCAGGAGCGACATTCTTGGCGGTGCGCGGGCTGCGCATAGCCGTCATCAAGCTCCTGGGGCGCTGGTCCTCTCGGGCCATCGAGCGCTACACCCAGTCGGCCCCGTGCCAGCGTGGTGGAGGGGATCAGGGCGTCGGGCGGCAGGCACCGCCGAGTCAAAGGAGTGCGGTGGCTTTCGACAAAAAAGTCCGCCGGTGTTCCAGCTCCTGGGCTTGACTTGGGCGTCGGCGGGGGGCCAGAGGGCATCGGAGCCATGGGCGTCGGAATGTGTCGGATTTAGTGGGTGTATGGGCCTCGAGCGCTACACCCAGTCGGCCCCGTGCCAGCGTGGTGGAGGGGATCAGGGCGTCGGGCGGCAGGCACCGCCGAGTCAAAGGAGTGCGGTGGCTTTCGACAAAAAAAACCGCCGGTGTTCCAGCTCCTGGGCTTGACTTGGGCGTCGGCGGGGGGCCAGAGGGCATCGGAGCCATGGGCGTCGGAATGTGTCGGATTTAGTGGGTGTATGGGCCCATCCGAGGTGCCCTTGGCGTTGCCAAATTCAGGAAAGGCCTGGTCTGCTCCTCCACGTCGATGTCGCCGAGCTTCTCCCGGAATGTCGGTCCCACCATCCCCAGGTGGCACTGGCGCCGTCTAGCTCATCGTCCCAGCTGCGCCGGCCACCAACGGTGTGCAGGTCTGAACATCCTCCAGCCGAGGCTGCGTCGTTGAAATCAGCAACCTAATCCGTCGACAGCAGCCCCACCACAGGCGCATACCCCATTCGCCGAGCGTCCGCGTCGAAAACGCGTCGAGCCAGATGTTACTGCACACACAAGTACACCACAACAAGAGCGGTAGCAGGGCCTTCGAGGCATTTTTCACAGGCCAAGCACTTCTCCACGCACCCGGTCTCGCGCTAGTCCGACAAGCGTTCACTTCTGTATTGCTTCCCTCCACCTTCCACCTTCTGTGGCATCAAGTCGTCCGGTGCAACGTTGTTGTCCACATCCACCATCGCCAAGCAAGCTCCGTCCAAGTCCGGCATGTGAGGCATGTAAGGATCGAGCAGCTCACGCCCGTGTCAGGTTCACCTCTGCTAGATGCAGAACGGGGGATGCAACGTGAACATCTGACAGTGTTGTGATCGCCTCCTCTTCGCTCTTGTTCGCGGCATCTCCTACCAAGATCCAAAACGAGATACCAGTACTTGAGAGGGAACCCGGCCAATGCAAGCTAATCATCATAATCATGATCGTGGCAATGATGGCTGTGATGATGGTGATGATGATGATGATGACTATTATTATGATGATGGTCAGGGCTGGTGATTGTGATGGTGATGGCGATGCTGCTGATGACCGTCATGACGGTGATGATGACGACGGCGATGGTGAGTGTACGGGCGATCACCACGCTGATGATGATGAAACGGCAATGACCATGACAGTTATGATTCCAATGATGATGTCAATTTGACGATGCATATCAGCTATGGATGAATGGAACCAAGTGCCAGGCCTGAGTCCTAAGTGGTGCGTAAGTGCCAAATCACCACCATCATCATCAGCAGCATCATATAATGCAGCTGGCCGCACTGTTAGCGCACTGGAGTCACTGAATCCTCGCAAATACACGTCGGAACCTCAACCTCTTTAGAGGCAACACACGCCTTCATCTTCGAGACTGGTGTCTTCTCGGAGAACCTGACGACCTTGAGCAGCTGCTGAGGCAGCCGGCAAGGGACTCACGTTGAGGTCTCAAGGTTCGGCCTCGTTTTTGATCAGGTCGAAGGACACTTTCCTTTTGGTCTTCTTCCTCTTCCTTGTCGCTGCACTCGAAAGCCTTGGTCTTCAATCCGGACTGCTCCTACTCCTTGCAGAGCTCATCAGTGAAGACTCAAAGTTCTCAAAGCCTGGTCAACCAGTAGTATGCAGTCTCACACATGTCGCAAATAGGGAGCAACGGAGCGGTGCTGCGCCGAACCTTGGCACGAAACGCAGGGGCGGAGCAGCGGAGCAAAAGGCGAAGCAACCGAAACGGAGCGGGCGCGGAATGAGCGCACGTGCCCTTTTCGCCGGTGGACTCTGCCATCCCCTCACGTGGAGTCACCGAACTCCATGCCGTCCATACCACCAATCAGAACTCTCACACAAGCGACTGTGATCGGGAAGGGGACGGAAGACCCACGAGCAGCCTGAACTTCCGACCGATAACTTGGCTTGTGGGAGTGCGGTTGCTGCCATTGCACGCTGCGGAAGCTGTTGGAATCGCAGACTCCACGAACTCGACGGCGTCGAAGGAAATCCAGACTACCGTCAGGTGAACCACATCCAGTTCTGCCCCTGTCCGTCCGGGTAACGTTTGGTTTGCGGTCGATCTCAGTGTATCTGCAAGCCCGGTTTTTCCGTCAACAAGCTCCAGACAACGAACCGCCCGACGCTTTCCCTATATCTTCCAAGACACAACGGCCTGACTACGAAAGCATCGAGCCTCCACCCATTTCCACCCCCTCGAATCATTGACGCGGATTCAAGCCAAAACTGTCGCTAAAAAGTGATTAACAATCACTCGTGTGCGCAGGTGATCAGCATGATTCACACAGCGGCCCGCTGAGAATCACTTGCAAGAGGCGGGGAATGATTCTACCCGAAGCGCACACGCAGGTATGTCCGGTACCATTGAATTCATGGGGTTCTGTTGGTTGTCTGTGAATGCATGTTGGCATTTTCTGTGTGACTTGTGCCTGGCAATGGGGTTCTGGAAAATTGTAGGAAAAGCAAAAGCAAGTGCCCCAGCCAGAAAGCAGTCAAACTCAACAGTACCAACGACCAGGAAATCCAGGAACTCGGTCCAGCTCTTACATCAAACGCACAAGTAATCAAGCGTGTCCGGACGAAGTAGAGTGCATCCAAAGATAACTGTGACAAGCTCTATATGGGGTTGTCAGAATCATGGTCCCTTGTGGGGAACCCCATATAGTTCTATTTTTAATGCGGCACCCTATGGTTTGGGAACCCGAAACGGACCCTAGTTTTGACAGCCACCCATCTGTCTGCACTACATTACACATCTCCGCCGCAGCTGCGAAAGCTTGCTGTGACCTGTCATGAAAGACCGGGAGATCGGCTGCGGAAAGACCTCGGGCTGGCCCTTGCGTTGCACCTGCCAGAAAAACGGCTGGTGAAACTGGAGGAGCAGCGCAAGTAGCGGATAAAGATCGTGGCGCAGTTCATCCAGGCTGCTTTACCTTCTAGCCACAGTAAGCTGGGTCTATCCTTCCATCCAGCACGCTAGCCAGACTGCCAAGGACCACAGGCTGTGAAAATGGAGACGAGAACATCGGAGCTTGCACGTTGCCAGCATGCTTCGACGCTAGCGGCCGCTAGCGACAGATCACATGACTTCCAAGTGAATTGAATCTCACACACCGACGCCGGACGAGTTGTGTGCCTCCTGCTTACCCCAACCTGTTCTTGAGCTGCAACTGTCCGACACAACACCACCCAGCATCGTTGTTCGACTACGACAGAAATTATGAAGAAGCACCTGGACTTCTTGGGCGTGTTTTGCAGCTTCCTTCTCGATTCCAAGCCTGCGCGAGGTGCTACGGCCGTGGCTTCAGTTGGCTTTCTCACAGTGCTAGTTGCGGGCATTGCACATGCAGCTACAAGTCCTCCGCTGCCGCTTCTTCTTCTTCTGCGCAAGGACTTTCGATCTGAGGGGCAAAGCTGCCTGGAATCAGGCGTATTCGTCGTTGTCAACACTGCTTCGTGGCAAACACAGATGCCTTTGGAAGCACGAGAGGTGAGACGTTCACCCTCTCCTGACTCTCGGCAGTGGCACGGACCTCAGCACTCAGCTTTTCTGGCACGAGGCCAAGCTCGCAGACGTGTCATTGCCAGCACCTTTCGCTTCCGCTTCTTTTTGCAACTTCGCTCGCTCCGCTCCTGCTGCAAGATGCTGTAAGCCAGAGTTGTCCATGTTCCACGGCGTCCGCTCGTGAGGCCTCTTTGGAAGCCGCTCCTTCAGAAGGAAGGCTTGCCTAGCAGTGACTGATCGACGACGTTCCAAAGAATTTGCAAATCTTCAAACAACAATCATACTATGAAGATTCCTCCGGGGGTCGTAAGCAGAAGTTCATGTGAGCAGCCTTGTCGGGCGCTTGCTTGGCAGTGGCGTTGAGGCACCTGAAGTGTGCGCAAGAAGCCAAGACTCCCCAATGAAGTTTGAACGTACTGGTTTGCACATCTTTGCATATGATTGGATCTGTTGGCTCTGTGCAGGGCGGCTTGCATCGCACGTGAGTACAGCACAAGAAACCGCGAGGATTGCCCGTCAGGCATTTTGCCGGGACTACAGGGGGCCATGAGTTTCAGACCTCGAATCGAAGTTGTTGGGAGGCTACTGGCATGCGATGTGCGGATGTACAGACGGCCGCACTGCGGCACCGCACAGATTCAAAGCTCAAAGCAAGGCATGTGACGACTCCGCAACAGTAAACGGTGTGTAACAGCTATGCCGGTGTGGAATTCGTCTCCATAGCTTCTAGATGCTTCTAGGATTGGATTAGCTACACCATTCCCCCTGTCTTAAGGGGTGGGGAATGGGTCCAGGGACCTATTTCTTAAAAACATGATGCTAGGGGGAGGGACCCTCTCACGAGACACTTTAATCGAAAATGATTGGTGTAGGGCTTAGGGCTGAGGGTTTTGGGTTTGGGGTTTAGGGCTCAGGGTTCAGGGTTCAAGGCTTAGGGTTTTGGGTTCAGGGATTTCCGGGTCTGTGCCGACAAAACGAGCACATTCCGTGCTCCGTGCTCTTCCACTTGTTACATTTGTCGCAAGCTTGTCATCGACAGATCACTGATCTTGCCGTTCTCTTTTATGCGCAAGTGCGGTGGTGCCACTCGCTCCGCCCCTGAAGTCGTTGGGCTGCATCAGCCCAACTTTGACAACGGGTGTAGCATTCCCCCTGTCTTAATATTGGTCTTGGTGGGGGGGGGGGGGGGGGNNGGGTCAACATCTGTTCCCACCTATTTCTGACTCTCCCCAGACCTATTCCGTAGAGGGTTCGGCGGGGGGGTCGAACAAATAGGTCCGGCAAAGAGTGCTCTTGAGGCTGCTTGAAATTCCGCTGTGATTCACTCGGCAATTGGGATTATCTGGGCTTTTAAAGCAATCCATCAGAGGCTGAAAATTGCGGCGTGATTCAGCAGGCGTTTGGCTCAGGATTCTGTTGTCGGGAACCATATGGATTCCATTTGTCTTTGTTTTGCTTGTTTACTAGTGGCTCTGAAGCGGCTCTGGGTATCTTGCAGTGGCTGGCTAGGTAGAAGCATGTAGGAGCCATTCAGTGGTGACTTGCGCTATTGCTGTTGAAATGATCCCCTGTGGGGGGGGGCTCACTCTCTCACTTTTAACCGGCTAGTAATACGGCTGACACTCCTACCAGTGGCGGCTCTGGGTATCTCTCAGTGACTAGCTAGGTAGAAGCCTGTAGGAGTTCCCCATGGACTGATGGGGCGCCGCTGATGCTAACATCAGAACTCCTATATCACCCTGAACTCAGGGGATGGAGCCTTGGATGGGGTGCCTTTGATTCTAAGATCAGAATTCCTACAGTACGTCGAATTTCGTCTTCAGGGCGGAACTTCGACTTCACGGCCGAACTTCGTCTTCAGGGCGGAATCTCGTCTTCAGGGCCGAATGTCGTCGTCAGGGCCGAATTTCGTCGTCAAGGGTTATGTTCGAGACACTCTCCTGCTTCTGGGGCAACTCTGTGCGCGGTCCAGACGCAGCCACAGTCTAGATCTGCAATTCGAATTCGGCTGCGCTCGCGGAGACTGCGATGACAAATCCTGATCAAGTGCCTGCCTACACGTTGCCTTGGTACCTGCGTCTTACACTGAAAGCCGAAAAACGAGGAGCCTCTTCTCAAGCTCTGCCACCATGTCGCAGAGTGCCTTTTCTTGCAGAGCGACTTGCTTGGCAGTTGATCAGTGCCCTGAGCAACTTGCCTCTCGATTCTTCTGTGTTGCTGCGCCGTTAGCCGCAGCCAGCCTACCAGGCGTGGTGTCATCCTAACACATTGCCCGCCCAGGGCCCCTCAGGCCCAAGCAATCTCTTCTGCAGCTGCTTCACCAAATCATCTGGCACCCTGCATTTAATGACATCGAGCAGTTTAGCCATTCCTCCTGCACAGTCTCCCACCCCTCGGTGGAGCCTTCGGAACACATTCTCATGGACGCTTCGAACCTTTTTTCAACGACTAGCCGTCACTTTCTGCAGGAGACAAGCTGGTGCAGTTAGGGCACTGACTAAACCCTCAACGTACGAACCCTCTGCCAGACCGACGAAGGGTTCAAGGAGTGCCAACACCGCCTGCCGAAGCTATGATTGCAATGTAGCAGCCAACGTCACACGAGCCGGACCTGTGGCGAGGCCTTTGGGCTTTGTTCCAGTTGAGGGAGAAGCTCATCCCAAAGCACCCGTGTCAACTGCCAAGCACAGACGTCGCGCTCATCAGACAGAGGCCAAACCATGCCAGGCCCGGCGTGCATGATGATCCCAACACTGGAAGCGCTGTTGGTGCGATGAGGGGCAGGCCTGCAAACCGGCGGCAGCTTCGTGTGGCAGCAAATTCTGATGTTGCTTTCGACTACGTGCCTCAAAAGGACTTCTGCACGATCCTTGACCTCCATAGCAGGCTGTGTGGCAAATGCAACTCTTTCTGCGTACTGTTGCACCCTGATTGGTGCGGCTGGAACCCCAATAGTGGAAAACGTGTCCGGCCGTATGGTCCTGAGAAACATGTTTGCCCCTGCAAAGATGGTGGAACCAAGTTTCAAGGCGCGTTTTGGGTAAGCATGCCAACTTGTTTATAAGTACTGGAAGTGCTCGAAATACTGGCGGTATTCGTGGCAGTCGTAGCACTAGTCGTTCTTGTTGTACTGCCGATATTTCTTGTGCTTCGGATACTACTAACGGAATACCACCAGCACCGCTGGTTAGTAGCACTAGTAGTATTAGGAGTATTGCTAGTACCACCAGTACTATTCTACTAGTACTACATAGTACTACAAATACTACTAGTACTACTAAAAATCCCCACATGCTGGCTAGGGCGGAGGATGAAAATGGAAATTTCCATTTTGATGGTCAGGGACCCTCGCCTACCAGAAGCCGCTCTGCATTGACATGTTGCGAGCTGCAGTCTATGACCCCCCCCAAGCACCCAGAACCCGGAACACGAAAGTCACAGAGAAGATGAGACGAAATCGCGAGAGCAAGGGAGCAGCGAGGGAGAGGAGAAGAGTCGAGTATGTTGAATGTATGTATATATATATATAGATAGATAGCTCACGCCCCCCCCCCCCATGATCCACACGAA